TCAGGAGAAGCTAAAGTCCCTTAAATATGAGATGCGTTGCCTCAACAAAGATTTTTATGGGGACTTGCCAGGCCGTGTGAAGCAGGCTTATGAGGAGCTTTGTTCTAGGCAAACAGAGGCTATGCAGAATCCGCAAGTATCAACTTTTGAAGCTGCATCGGACGCTTGGGAACACTGGCACCACATCTCTGGAATTAAGGAGCAGTTTTTCTATCAAAAATCTAGAGTGCAGTGGCTGGGTCTTGGCGACAGAAATTCCAGGTTTTTCCACAAGGTCACGCAGAGCCGAAATATCAGAAACACTATCAGGAGAGTTGTCACCAGTGATGGCAGGATTCACACCACCCAGGAGGATATTAAGAAAGAAGCGGTCACACACTTCGAGTCCTTTCTAAATGGCTCTAATCAAGTTGGGCAGAACTTCTCCCAAGAGGAGATAAGTCTGTTAATCGATCATCGTTGTACACCGACTGAGAGTGCGATGCTTCAAGCCCCGGTCCACGCAGAGGAAATTAAAGATGTCCTTTTCTCTATGCCACCAAATAAAGCTCCTGGTCAAGACGGCTATCCTATGGAATTTTACAAGGCAGCTTGGTCAGTGGTTGGCAAGGATTTTGTCACAGCAGTGCAGTCTTTTTTCATGTTCGGTTTCATGCCTTCTAGTATCAATGCAACTCTCCTCTCCCTGGTTCCCAAGACCTCTGATGCCGAGAAAATGACAGACTTCAGGCCTATTGCTTGTTGCAATGTCGTTTATAAAGTGATATCAAAGATCATAGCTAGGAGGTTAAAGGCTATGCTTCCTGAGGCTATTGAATTAAACCAGTGTGCGTTTGTTGAAGGCAGGCTTCTCCTGGAGAATATTCTTTTAGCTACTGAACTTGTCAAAGACTATCACAAGAGCTCAGTTTCTTCTCGATCGGCCATCAAGCTGGACATATCAAAGGCTTTTGACACCGTGAATTGGGAGTTTATTGAGAAGACCTTGCGTGCGATGGGATACCCAGACCTTTTTGTCACATGGATCATGAGATGTATTGACACTGCAGCTTTCTCAGTATCTGTCAATGGGGAGTTAGCAGGATATTTCTCCAGTAGTAGAGGTATACGGCAAGGGTGCTCGTTGTCCCCATACATTTATGTTATTGTAAGCAATGTACTCTCAAAGCTCCTCAATAAAGCGACCTCCGATGGACAGATTGGTCATCATCCTCACTGTAAGGAGATAAACCTGACGCACTTGAGTTTTGCGGATGATATAGTCGTTTTTACCAATGGAACTCCGGAGTCTCTTAAGTCCACACTTGAGGTATTCGACAAATTCGCCAGCATGTCGGGGCTTGCAATCAATGTAGCGAAATCGACAGTTTTTGCTGCGGGTAGAGGGAAACAAGCACTTGAAGCTGCTGCAGGGGATTCTGGTCTCTCCATCTCTTCCCTGCCTATCAAGTATCTTGGTCTCCCACTTACCACAAAGATTATGACCAAATCTGACTACGAGCCTCTGGTCACAAAAATCAGGAAACGTTTCTTATCATGGACTAGTAAAGCTCTTTCTTATGCTGGCAGATTACAACTCATAAAGTCAGTAATCATGAGCATCACAAACTTCTGGTGTGCTGCGTTTTGTCTCCCTCAAGCGTGCATTGATGAGATTGAAAGTATGTGTTCTGCGTTTCTATGGAGTGGGTCACCTAATAACTCTTCTATGTCGAAAGTTTCCTGGACTGATGTCTGTTGTCCGATTGTGGAAGGTGGGTTGGGGCTTCGACGTGTTCAGGAAGTCGGTACAGTCTTTATTTTGAAGCTCATTTGGCGGCTTTCGGCTCATTCCTCCTCGTTGTGGGGATTATGGGTAAGACAATATCTGCTTCGGGATGAGACTCTTTGGGATGTGAAGGATACTGGACTGGGATCTTGGGTATGGCGGAAAATCTTAAGGTACCGAAATCTTGCTCGACGATTCATTCGTATGGACGTCAAGAACGGTCAACGGGTGAGGTTCTGGTCGGACTTTTGGCTTCCTGCTGGGAGATTAATTGATATTGTTGGTGAAATAGGAACTCAGAAGCTAGGCATTGCCAGGAACGCAAAACTTTGTGAGGTTCTTGAGGATGGTGTTTGGCGGTTTAGAGTCTGTCGTGATCCGCACATACAGCGGCTGGTGCAGGAGATTCGACAATTCCCTCTAACGCTGACTGCAAATGCTCCTGATGGTGTTCTGTGGAGGAATGGCCCTGATGATTATGGAGATAAATTTATAGCCTCTGCTACTTGGCTACAGATCAGGATGCGTAAGGAGGAAGTTCAGTGGAGTAGGATCGTATGGTTTTCTCAAGGGGTACCCCGATTTGCATTCATCACATGGCTAGCTTTCCGTGATAGATTGGCTACTTGTCACCGTACTTGCAGGTGGGGACAGCCACAAGGGTGTCTCTTTTGCGGCGAACCAGATGAAACGAGGGATCATCTGTTCTTCGCTTGCCCTTATACTTTCACATTGTGGCTACAAGTTGTTGGGAATCTGTTTGGAGTGGCGCCTGATCCGGACTGGGAAACCACCATTGCACGGTTGATCAATGGTACTTATGATCGGGTAACGTTTATACTACTGAGATTGGTATTGAAAGTTACTATCTATTACATTTGGAGGGAAAGAAATGATCGACGCCACAACAACTCTGCAAAACCTGTGGACCAGCTTGGTCGGATCATTGACAAGACAATGAGGAACCGCATTACGTCAACCAACTACTCTCTTAAACTAAAACTGAAGGGACTGCTGCAACGTTGGTTTGGGGCTCATAGATCTTAGGTTTAAATACGGTTTCTCGGTTATTAGTTTGAATTCTTCTCTGTTACGTGTATATATATTCTTTAAACTCTGATCAATAAATTAAATATTTCATCAAGAAAAAAAAACAAAAAAAAAGAAAGAAATGTATTTTTGTAAGCCTCGACTATCTCCAAGGAGAAAAACATTTAAAAAAACATGGAGTACTCTTCAAAACTCACATAAATCTCCAAAATGTACACTCTTTAATGGTGTATCATTTTAAGGAAAACATCAAATAATAAGAAAAACCATTTTCCAATGATAAATCGAGGAAAAAAATGTATTTATGAATAGTATTCCCTCAATTTTGAAATAACACTATTCATAATCTCATTTTGATGTTAGATTTTTTTATTTGTAATTTGATCATTAATTTTTCTATAACTTTGTTTTGTATCTATTTTTACGTATGTGTATTTTTACACTTTAACAAAATTATTAATAATTTCATTGTATAATTATAAGTTTATATAAATCATCCTAGAAACTAAATTTATGTATATAATAAGTATTTAGTTAAAAAAAATATTTTTGGGGGTAAATTTGTAAAAATAAATAAACAATAAACATCATTATAGAACTAAAATAAGTATTAATAATAGAATATTATTTTCGATGGAAGAAATGAAAAAAACTATTGGAACAAAACACAAACTTATTTTGAATTTATATCATTTTGATAGAAAAATGATGTTAACCATTGGAGATGTCCTACGAATTGCTAACTTTTTTTACAAAAAAAAACAAAAAAACTCTATAAGAGTTGCTGAGGTCATGCCATTTTTTCGGTAGCGTGTTTCTAACATATGCTGAACATGAATGGCCATGCCTCCAGTACTCAGAGTCACACTTCCAAAATCAATTTTAACTCTTAAAAGAAAGATGGTTTTCTTTATAAAAAAGGAAAGATAGTTTTTTGGCGACTGATTGAAATTGATGATCATATTTCAATTGTTGCATTTGAATGTATGAAAATGGGTCAACAGGGACATGACGAATGTATGATGATTGGAGTGATGTCAAATGTCAAAACTACATGACTCCATTTATTAATAACCATAACTTTTTTACAATTGGTGTGAGCCAATCCGACACGGACCAATAAAATAATTTTTTTTTTTTTTTTGTCAGCCGCCCATCTGAAACTAGATCAAGTGGTGAACAGACGAGTCGATCTTCGTATGAGCATCTCCGTCTGGCCTGGTCTGATCTATATGGGAAAATTATATCATTATCTTCTCGCCTCTTTAGCTAATCCATCCGCTCGATCATTTCGACTTCGAGGAATATGAAAAATCCTCATATCCTCAAAGTCCTCATGTAGTCTCTTAAGCCTCTCGATCTCTGTTGTGAAGGTTGGCCATTCCTCCGGATTAGTAGACATGTCTACTAGGTCTGCGCAGTCCGTCTTAATCCTCACTGAGTTGATCCGCAAGTCTCTCAAACATGAGATTGCCCAGAGTAAGCCTTCCATTTCTGCATGCAGAGCTGAACGGACCAATAAAATAATTTATAAGGCCTTTTTATGTATATATACTTCAATTCGGTTGATTCAAACTTTTAGATTTTTGGTATTATGTTCAGAAATCCTATTCAGATAAATTAATTATCGAGTCGGTTTCGATTCAGTCAAATTGTAACCAATGTCTGAAATCGTTAAAAGATTGTTTTAACCTGAAAAACTAACAATTTTAGTTTCAAAATATATAACTATTCACAGATCTAACAAAAATTAGTCAAACTATCTAATTCAACTAAAAAGGATTCAAAATAACAAATGGAACAAACTACAAAATTCTTTCAAATACTATAAAATATCTAAATATATAACATATTTAAATAATTTTGAATATCTTCAGTCCTATTTCGGATTTTGGTTCGGGTTGTACCCAAACCCTACAATACTAAGTTCATAAGTCTCATTCAGATGTTTTTGTGTGACAGTTCGGATCCCATTTCGGTTTCTTCAGTTCAGATTTAGATAGGTAGGGTAGAAACACACCGGCTTCTTAAAACCATGTCTCTCTCTTAAAAAAAGTTCTAGAGAGAGAGAGCAAATAAAAGAGTGCATAAAATTCAACAAGAAGAAAGCGACTTTTCTTAGTCCTTATTTAATACTCTTTCTTTCTCTTGAGTCCGTTACTTCATTTTGTCCACCTTTCTCTTTTTTTCATTTCTCTCTCAGGTTCCATTAACCTTCAAAAGTTTCATATACATTCTCTCTGCTGCAAAACTTTTTTTCTTCCAATACTTCTAAAGAAAAAGAAGACAGCTTTCCTCTCTTTCATTGCTTCTTGACACAGCATTGCAGCTTTAAATAACTAAATGGGAAGACATTCTTGCTGTTACAAACAAAAGCTGAGAAAAGGCCTTTGGTCTCCTGAAGAAGACGAGAAGCTTCTCAATCACATCACCATTCACGGCCATGGCTGCTGGAGCTCTGTTCCTAAACTCGCTGGTAAACATTTTTCTCCCTTAAAACTCATAAGCAAAACATCAAAAGAATCCATTTTTAATGTTTATAGTAGTAACTAATCTGAGCCTAATTTGCAGGTTTGCAGAGATGTGGAAAGAGTTGCAGACTAAGATGGATCAATTACTTGAGACCTGATTTAAAGAGAGGAGCTTTCTCTCCAGAAGAAGAGAATCTCATCGTCGAGCTTCATGCAGTTCTTGGAAACAGGTAAAGAACATAATCAACAAACTATGCTGCCAAAGGAAAAAAAGAAATAATCATAAGAAGACAGAGGATCCTCTGTTTCTTGCTCTACTCTGTTATAAGTTTCCTCTGTTTTTTGATCAGATGGTCACAGATTGCTTCAAGGCTTCCGGGAAGAACAGACAACGAGATCAAGAATCTATGGAACTCAAGCATCAAGAAGAAACTGAAACAAAGAGGCATTGACCCAAACACACACAAACCCATCTCCGAAGTTGACAAAGACAAAACACCAACGAGCAGAAACGACAACAAGTCTCCTAGTTCTTCCTCTCCAACTAACCAAGACTTCTTCCTTGAAAAGCCATCTGATTTCTCTGACTACTTTGGTTTTCAGAAGCTTAACTTCAACTCCAACCTTGGACTCTCTGTTACATCTGACTCTTCTCCTCTCTGCTCCATGATCCCGGCTCAGTTTAGCCCCCGAAACATGGTTAGTTCTGTCTTTCAGACTCCGGTTTGCGTAAAGCCGCCTTCAACTAGTCTTGCTCCGGACAACAACTTGAGCACTCTCTCCGGAGGTGATCATGTGTTTCAGACAAACAACACCTCGAACTTCTTCGATAACGGTGGATTCTCATGGTCAGTTCCAAACTCTTCTTCATCTTCGCTAGTTAAACCTAATCATAACTTGGAAGAAATGAAATGGTCAGAGTATATGAACACACCGTTCTTCAATGGGAGCACTGTGCAGAGTCAAAACTCTCAACCTATCTACATCAAATCAGAGGCAGAGTACTTAGTCAATGTTTCGAACATGACAGATCCTTGGGGCCAAAATCAGAACGAAAATTTAGTCACACCTGAAGGTAGTGACGTGTTCTCCAAGGACCTTCAGAGAATGGCCATTTCTTTTGGTCAGTCCCTTTAGGTTTCTTTTTTCTTTATTCTAACAGATGTAGAGAACAAAAACATATACAATACATGCATACGTATACAAATGGGTTCAGGTGGTCTGTATATTCATGGGGGTATTTTTATTTTAAGTGTGTTTTATACGTTAAATATTCTTCTATCTTTTGCAAACCCTATCAGTCTTATTCTGTATAGTCCTATATTTTTTGTTTGTTGATGTATATAGTGTTCTCGATGATTCTAGAGGTGTGTCTAACAATTAATCTGTTGAAGAACAATGATGAACGTAATAAATTAGTTTCTGTCTGTTTCCGTGAACGAGTTGTGATCCAGAGTCACATCCTTCACCATTTTTCAGACCTGTAATTAATTACAAGACAAGAAAACATAAAATTAAGGATGTGACCTTAATAAACATGAAGGACGTGATGGGATTGATTTACTTTATAACACAAATGTTTTTAAGATTCCAATCCAAAACAACCACCCTTCTACCTTTTTCGAATTAACCTAACGCAATAACTCGACCAGTAACAGAGTATCAAATGTTTGTTTGACTTTAATTTTAAAGCCCACATAATTGTATTTCTTAAACAAAAAATGATTAATCAAAACATATTAGACTAATTTCAAATTATAAGAAACGAGAGAATATTTAGAATTTTTTTGGAAGTTGAGAAAAATAAAAAATCAAATTGAAAAATCAGTTTGTTACATAAAATATATTACCCCGTACATTTATTTTAACAACAGATTAATAAGGTTCATATGCATTTTTCTTTTGGTTCATATGCATTTGCTTTATAATAAGATTTAGTGGAACGCGATAATGCATGTGAACCGAATAATTGGTGATACATTAAGCTAATCATTGTGTTAATTTTGATTGGCGTATGTACATATAATTAACATCAACACTTAGTCGCTGTTTGTTAACATAAAAAAATCTATTGTGAGAAAACAATAGAGAATGTCGTGGAATCTTTTTGCTCTCTTTTCTTCTCCCCTATTATTTATTTACTTTTATAGTTTGACGTCGAATAATTTTTTACATTATTATCATAATATAAAGACATTTGGATATACGAAAATTAACCGTGTTGACATGCTGATAACTGGACAAATCAAATGTAGCTTTCTTTATTGTTCGAGAGGGAAGATTCCAAGGTTTTAAAGATATCATATCAAAAAGAAGAAGGGTGAAAAGACTTCGAAGGTTTTATGATTATTGACTAGATGATTGACTGATTGGTAAGGATTTTAATTTTTTAGCTCTTACAACATACTGTAAGAATGATAACACGTTCAAGATTTTCAATGAACTCCACTAAAACTTGTTTCTCTCTCATGTTTTTGTGTTTTTAACTTTTTTATTCTGAAAATAAGCATCTGATGGAGAAACTAGCCATTGAGCTACAGAACGGATATTTGCTTTAACAATCAAGATGACAATATATGTTAATGTAATTAAAGATTATGGCACTTATATTTTTTTATTAGTTTGTTGGCTAAATAACCTTGATAACATTGCTGGGAATACAAAGCAAAATAAACATTTCTTAATACCGATTCTTTCTGTCACAAGGACAATCACAGTCTATGAGCTTGAAGTTTATGCTCTTTCAAAATACCAATTTCCAACAGCTACAGCAATCCCCTATTTTGTATTTCCAACAAGTGATAACAAAAATTAGTTCTGCATGCAAGTATATACAGGCTTGCAAATAAAAAAAAAATGGGTTCGAAACAATATTATGGGAATCATGATATATCAATGGTAAAAGAGTCTCATTTTTTTCCTTACCTTGTTACCCGCTTGAGAGTTTCCAGGAAACCAAGCATCTTGTCTCTCCGCTTGGCAATGAGCCCAGCCTGAGGTAATTAAGACTCCGTTCTTCCTTGACGTCAAAAAGGTTTTTAACGCATTTAACATGCTTATCCTGAAACCTGTATCTCGGAATTTGAAAGCAAGAAAACAATCTTGAAAATCACCTTTTGTTTAGAAGAGCCGTCTCAAATTACTTGAAAACCATGTGCAAATTTTTTACCAAGTCTTATATTTAGTTTTGGGGATGTTTGAGGGCTTTAGGTTACATGAAGATATCATTATTTACCTTCCAAGACCTTCTTCTGAGCTGCGTTGCATCTGAACATGAAGCTGCAGTTATGCCAACTGCCAGTCGGATCTGCAGATGGTGGAGCTATACTATTTCCAATCTGCATAAAAAAAAAAAGTTAGTACTTAATTAAAGACACGAACCGCCACATGATATATATATGGTGAACAAGAAAATAGTGAAACAAGATCGAGCAAAAATAACCTGCCACGCATCAAATCCTGAGTTGAGAATATACAACGGAGTCATCACTTGGTTGATTATGTTTTGAGGAAAAAAACACTGAAATATTGATATCAAGTTAAGCAAATGAGGAACTAATCATAGCTTTATAACACAAGAAAACAGATAGGAGCAACGGGAAATGGGTACCGAAGTTGGATCAAAATGGTTTGTACATGTGCGAGGAAGCGTGTTTTGCAAACCCTAAATGCTCAAAACATTTTGTTTGTTAGGCTTCAACGATGTATATACATCTCTATTTTAATATACCACCATCAATACATAATAATAATGATAATAATGTTAATGCTAGTACCTGGGTGTTAACGACACCAGAATACATACGTCTTAACGTACGACCTCCAGATATATCAACACTACAGTTACATGAGAGACATAAGAAGTCATATACTAAAATTACCATTATCCATTACACAAAGCAAGCTTTGAAAAAAATTAAAATACACTCACGTATCAAGGAAGAAGCCACCATCGCTCATGCATTTTACTTTGGTGCTTAGAGGAAACAAGCTCTTAAAATCATCGCAGCGTAAGATCGATGAAAGACCCCCAGCCGAACAACCGCTGAGCAAAGCCTTAATTAATGTAATATCATCTACATTAGTTACTTGTTTTTTTGTGAAAGGGTTTACTATTAAATTAAAGAATCTACATTAGTTACTTGAGGATAAAGAAATACACAAATGATAAGCAAAATGTGGAGTAGATATGTATGTACCTGCTTTGCTTGACGCATTCCGTTTGCCATCAAATCTTCCATGACAGCTAAAAATATACGTTTTCCTCTAAATTGAAGTTGTGCGGCCTAATTGTACGTAATCAACCATAGGAACCTCAAGTTAATTACTAACGACATATATAGAGAATCAAGAGCAAATGATCTAATCTTTATGTGGTTTTAACTAACCTTGTTTTCGCTGTCGCCGCTAAAGGATGCACCATCACAATACCGGACTTTAACTTTATTCCAATTGTAAAAGTCTATAAAATTGATTTTCCACAAAAGAAGATAATACATTCAATAACAGTTCCAAAAACATCAAATCTTTTGTTTCATCAATAAGGGATCTTAAGTAAGACCTGGATTTTCAGCGGCTTTATTGCTTAGTATTCCCGTAAATGATAACATTTTCTCCATTAATGTGGACGATCCGTAACTACTACTTTTACGGTATTGACAATTTTTCACGCTGTCACACCACGCACCACCCTTTTAAGAAAATTGGCCTTATTAATTTAGGCTATCGATTATGTTTATATATGCATGAGATTATCTTATCTATGTCGAACCTGCAACTGAATGATCCAGTTGTTTGCTCCTGAACCGTACCCACGATACAAATGATATCCAGGCACCGACCCATCCAGACACACTGCCACAAAAAAAGTCAACCTTACACCAATAAAATATGAATAAAAACCTTAAAACAATGATGAACCTTGTAATGATGAAAGAAACTATGGTATCCATTGTTTTTTTTTGGGGAAGCGTTTACGTCATATTTAAACAAAGTATTTACTTAATTATGAACACAAGTTAAACAGCAGCCCGTTTAATTTGAATTAGCCTCTATGAAAAATGGATGGGAAGAAGATTATTACCGGCTCCTTTGGCAGCAGCGGCTTGAACAAGAGTGAGTCCTACCATCAGAACACCAGCACCATTGTCTTGTTTCTCATAAACACTTGTGTCGTTGAATCTGTTGAACAAGTTCATTTCATCAAAACCCATTACCCCATTTGTAAAAATGCCTAAGAGCGCAAGTCCTGCAAGACTCCAACACCATGAAAACGCACTCATTCTCCTCTTAATGATTATTGAGACGTACTCAAAGTAGGTAGTTTAGTTATATAAACAGCGAAGAAAGAAAAACCATTGGTCCTGGTCATTTATACATGCATGGAAACATAATAATAAACGAAGACCAGAGAGCGAGATAGAGAATACTACAAGTTACAGGAGAGATTCGTTGCAATATTAAAGATTTTGTTTCTTTAAGTTACACAAGAAAATATTTTTTTTCCTTAATAAAAAAATTTGTTTCTTCCTAAGGTTCATGATTAATCATCTTGTGAAGTTGAAGTCAAGTTGTTGTTCCCTTATTTTTTTTGCCAAGATAAAGAATTATTCTTGGGTTCATCCTCTAGATTCACCATTCAATAGGATTATATTATTTGATATTTGATATTTTTTAAAAAAGAAAAAAAAATCTTGTTAAGTTATATTATGTTTTGAAAAAAAAAAGTAATTAACAAAAAAAAATAACTAAAAAATATATTATAACACTTAACCCTAAACTCTAATCATAGACTTTAAACCCTTGGGTAAATCATAAACGTTTGGATAACATTTACAATAAAATTCTTTAAAAAAATATTTTACCACTAAAACACTAAACCCTAAACTGTAATCCTAAACCCTAATCCCTTGGGTAAATCATAAAGACTGAACCCTAACTGTAATCCTAAATCCTAAATTTTTGGATAAATCATAAACACTATAAGATTTATCCAAAGGTTTATGATTTACCCAGGGGTTTAGGGTGTAGAATTAGAGTTTAGGGTTTAGTGTGAAAATATTTTCTTTAAAAATTCTTATGTATTTATTAATTATTATTATTATTATTATTTTGTATTTTTATTTTTAAAATCATAATATAACTTAATAAGATTTTGTTTTTTTTTTTTAAAAGTATCAAATATGAAATAATACAATATTATTGGATGGTGAACCTAGAGATTCATCCTAGGGGGTGAACCCAAGAATAAGTCTAAGATAAAAATTAGTGACTTATTTTTGGGTTCACCAACCAATAGGATGATGTTATTTAATATTTGATATCTTTTAAAAAAAGAAACAAAATCTTGTTAAGTTATATTATGTTTTTAAAATAAAATAGAAAAATTAAATAAAAATAATAATATTTACAAAAAACAAAAAACAAAAAAAAATCTTAAAAAAATATTTTAAGATTATAATATGTTTTTTAAAATAAAAAGATAAAAATAAAATAAAAATAGTAATAATTGCAATAAAACAATTAAAAAAATATTTTATTATATCTTTAAAATGAAAACAAAATATTTTTTCAAATAAAAAGATTAAAATAAATAAAAAACAGTATAATTGGTTAGTATTAATTTTTTGATTTAATGTTTAAGATTTTTTCAAAGGGTTTATGATTTACCCGAGGGTTTAGGATTATGGTTTAGGGTTTAGTGTTTTAGTGTTAAAATATTTTTTTAAAGATTTTTTCGTAAATATTATTATTATTCATTTATTTTTTGTATTATTATTTTAAAAACATAATATAACTTAAAAATATTTTATTTCTTTTCTATAAAGATATCAAATATGAAGTAACATCATCCTATGAAGTGAACCTAGAAGATGAACCCAAAAATAACTCAAAATTAGTAGGATAGTCTCTTGCAAATCCATAAACCTTTTCATTTTTCAAATGATATTAACATGATTAGCACAAAAAGGTGTCAATCCAATATGTAAACAAGGGTAATTACTCAAAGTCTAACCATTTTCTGCATTAGCTTAGATAAGTTATTTACTTCTTTGAGGAGTTTAACCGTGAAAGATTCTTCAGGAAGTTGTCACCTCGTTTTCATCACTAGGTTGTCTATTATGCTTTAATAGTTTTAGAACAAGTTAGTATTGCATTTGCAATTGCCCTTTTATTAAGTGATCTAATAATTAGGTTTATATAACAGACTGTGATTTTATCTGCTCTTATTAACGTACGTGTTGAATCGTGATCAACAAAAAAAAATGCTGCTCCTAGTTAACATCTATCTACATTACACTGAATTTTCAAGCTTTTGATCCAGAATTTAAATAACGGTGTCGTTAGACGAAATTAACCTGAACCATTTGCTTACCTCTTTCCAAATGAGGCTTATTAAACACTAAAGTCCAAACTCAAATTTTGAAGATAGACCCAACCCACTAAGGAAAATGAAAGTATTCGGAACAAAAAGCAAAAGCCATAAAAATGTGAGGATATCTTTGCAAATCAAATATTCAATTATAATAACAAATACAGATATGAGTAAGACAAACATTACGTGATACATACAGTAGGTAATAATGATTCCATTTACTTACGTATTTATAGAATAGAATCATTAAAATATCTAAACCGTGTAATGCTAAAACATGTATAGGCAAAAAATTTCCATAGCAACAGCCCTGATCCATCCGGTTCAGTATTCTATTCGTTGACCTTTTGACATTCATTCATTCAGACAGAGGAGAGAGAGAAGGAGGAATTAAAAAGAAGCATGTTCCTTGCTTTTTCACTCCCACGAAGAAAAAGTCATCTACTTCTTCAATCTCTCTCCCCTTTATAAACTAATCATTCTCAACTGTTTACAGTCACACCATTAACCAAAATCAACATGGCTTCTTCAACTCCATTCCTCACCATCTCCCTCGTCGCCTTCCTCTTCTTCATTACAGTCTCTGCAGATCCCGACATGCTCCAAGACCTCTGTGTCGCTGATCTCTCCTCCGGTAATTAAAAAAAAAACTTAATTCAAAAATCTCTCATCACATTTTTTCCCATAAATCTTTAATTTTTATCGATTTTTTTTAAATTCAGGAATCAAAGTCAACGGTTTCCCTTGCAAAGACGCAGCTACTATCACATCACTAGATTTCTTCTCACAAGGAATAGCGAATCCAGGTCTCACCAACAACACATTCGGAGCCTTAGTCACAGGAGCCAACGTGATGACCATCCCTGGTCTCAACACGCTCGGTGTCTCCCTCGCTCGCATTGACTACGCGCCAGGTGGCTTAAACCCACCTCACATTCACCCACGTGCCACCGAAGTAGTCTACGTCCTCCAAGGAACACTCGACGTTGGGTTTTTAACGACCGCTAATAAGCTCATCTCTCAGTCTCTCAAGAAAGGTGACGTCTTTGCTTTCCCTAAAGGACTTGTTCATTTCCAGAAGAACAATGGTCATGTCCCTGCTTCTGTTATCGCTGCTTTTAATAGTCAGCTTCCTGGAACTCAGTCTCTTGGTGCTACTCTGTTCGGTTCTACTCCTCCTGTTCCTGATAATGTCTTGGCTCAAGCGTTTCAGACATCTCCGGGAACTGTTAAACACATCAAAACCAAGTTCCAACCCAAGATGTGATGATACTTTTGGTTCTGTTTTTTTTTTTCTAAAGGAATGATCTGTTCTCCTTTTTTTCTTAATATTTATCTTGTGGAATAAAACCCAATAACTGCTCTTTGAGTGTGCATTTGAGCTTCATTGTCTTATGTATTATCTTCTGTATAATCCAAGTTATTTTTCTGTTTGGTGTCACGTTAATTGGATAAAGCCAAGGTAAGTTGATGTCCTGATGATGATAATCTTATTTTGAAAACTTCCAAAAAGGCAGGTAAATCCACTTATCTGATCCTTAATATATAATATAATCAAAACTTAGAGAGACTCTTGCGTATGGGACTCTAATAAAATGATTAATTTAATTGATTAGACCAAATTCTTTTCTCCCTACCCCACATGTGCTATGCATTCCATATTTGCCAGCTAACTAAATCCATTGTAGAGGTTAGAAATCTATATGTATCTTCATGGAGTTAAGCTAAAGTCAATTGTTTAAACAAAGGATTCTTGCAAAAGACTCAAGGAATGGATCATACATTACGTTTAAACTCTGCCCTGTTGCATTAACCTGTGGAATAGGCTTCAATTACGGCGGTTCAGCCTGTTAAGCAGATCCATTCTAACATTAAGCTATACTCAGAGAGACAAGAAGCTGTCACAGTTTGAATAAAACCTGAAAAAGACAACATTATCAGACTAAAGAGAGAATTCATGTGAGGAGTTTGTGTTCTTTATGATCATCATAGACTATAAATTAGCTTTATTTCTCATCATACATCATGAAACCAAAAACACTCGAGAAGGAATTAGATGTTTACAGCTTCAGAACAACAGAGATAACAGAAGATGTAAAATGGATGGATATTTCACCGTTATTGGAAGTTGAAAATGAAAAACAAAAGCAATAAGGAAAGTTGCAAACAAAGAAAACCAGTGATTAATATATCAAAGCCATAACCCCTTTTTTCTTTTCTTTTGGGGAGAGACTACTTGTTTGCTGCAGCGAGTTCTGCAGTGATAATGAAACTCGATTTGCCAGCTTGTCTCAAGTACTGAACATCCCCATTCATCAGCTTCACTAGTTTCCTGCTAACCATCAAGCTTAGTCCTTCCTCCGACACATCTTCCTCAGTTCCAAACATTTGGTTTAGCAAAAACTCTGGTAACCCAGCTCCTGTATGCGTTATTCTGTATACATAAACAACACAAACCATCAGTGCACTTTCTATTAACATCGTACTGATTGATTTTAGAGTTTTTTTTACCTGATCTCTAAATAAGCAAGATGCACAGATCTCCCAAGCTGATCTTTCCTCAGGGAAGCTGTAACAGTTAGCTCTCCTCCAGATGGTGTAAAGTTAACAGACATCAACATAAAATCCGCCAAGACTTGTTGAAGCCTAATACTGTCTCCATACAGAGTTTCAGACATTACTTCTTCTCCTGTATCATTTGTTATCCGAACGCTCTTTCCGTTACTCTTCATCATCACTTGACTAGTGGAAGCAGTCAACACTTCGCTTAAGCTAAACTCTTTCATTTCCAGATCCAAGCACCTGCACAAAAGAAAAAACATAGTGAGAATCTAAAACAGAGAACCAAAGACTTTTTTCATTGTTGCATTACCCTTCAATGATGCTTTCAAGATCAGAATCATCCAAAATCTTGCTGAGTTGCTTCTGGCACAATGCGCTAGTTTGCAAAATCCTTCTCTGCTCTGGTCCTAACTCAGATCCCTCCATCATTTTCCTTGTAAACATGATACCAGATAACGGATTCCTAATCTGTCTTTTTATGTACGCAAGAGCCTTTAATCTCTTCAACGCAGTCCTCTCAGCTAGACGCTGAACATGGAGAGCTTGCTGCAGCTCATGGCTAGCAAGTTGCAGGAAACAGAAGACACCTGTCACTACACCTTCCCTGTCCAGCTTCTTACTAACACACAGCAAACACTCCACATGCTTTCCACCTCTTGTAAAAAAAGCAAATGGCACTTTCTCTGCCTCTTGACTAGTCACAGCATTATTCAGCACAATCCCAAGGTTTACAAACGCTTCTTGATTCTTTAGACGACAACATGACTTCTGCGTCCCAAACACTTCTCCTAACAGCATCTTGTCCATAACTTCCTCTCGCTTCAGACCGGTTAACTTTGACATTGCTGGATTCCACTCAGTGCACCAACCAAACTCGTCTGTACCAAATATGGGTGGGATCAGAGGGTTTGGATTCTGGATGATGGCCTTGTAGTCACCTTCAATACGAGTGAACTTGTCCATCACAGTCTTCTGTCCGGTAAGATCATGGGCTACAAAACATACACCAACCACGTTTTCATGGAGATCTCTACTTGCGCATGCATTTACTACTAGACTTATTGGTCCAGCATCAGCTCTTGATAGATGCGTCTTGATCTCAAATTGGACATTCTGCTCCTCGGTTCCTGCGTAAATAATCAACCAACGTTTACTGCATTATAGAGAGTAAGCTGATAATTGTTTGCACTAGTTTTTAGTTTTTAGATTTTAGTTCTAGATTATAGTTTTTGGTTTTTGATTTTAGCTTTTAATTTTTGTTTTTCAGCTTTTGGCTTTAGTTTTTAGATTTAGATTTTGGTTTTTGGTGTAGTTTTTAAAATTTTTAAGAAATAAGTAATCATTATTTTAAAATAATACAACAAAAATGGAAATAAAACATTTGAAAGCTACTATTAAAATATAATGATTATAATTTAATAGAATATACATTAACATGTTTAATTATTATATTTTTAAGAACTTATATTATACAAAACTATAAATCATAAAATGACTATAAATCATAAAATAATTGTAAATTATACAATATTTAAAATATGGAAATTATTTATAAAATTTGTTGTATATAATTTAAATTATAAATTTGAATGGCATTTTTCAAATTAATATAATATATTTTATTAGTGAAATTTTATGTTTTATAATTTAAGTTATTGTTTAATAAGTCTAACAATTATTAAAACTATTAAATAATTTTATTTATAGGAATGAATAACCAATTTTCAATTATTAAATATCTCTATAATATTATTTGAGAAGTCACTTTCTTAGGTGTCACGCTCATATTAACTCTCACAGTGGTTGATTACTATGATACCCCTGATAAATTAAAAAATACACTTAAATATTATTATTTCCTTTTAAAAGTTTTTCAAATAACAATATAAAATAAAAAGGAAACATTTATAAAGTTTACAAAAAATTTAAAAAACGAAAATATAAATATATAATATGGTTTAAAAGGAAAATTCACAAAATAATAATATTTAATTTAAATTGTTTTTTTAAATAACTTAAAATATACTTTTGAAATAATAAAATATTTTATATCTATTTATACTTAAATGAAAAAAATATTTGTTTATAATGTGATATCATAAATAAATTTCACACAAATAATCTTGATATTAGAAAAAGGTAATTTTAAACAATAATATATATATATATATATTTAAAGTAATAATTTTTTTGTATATATCTATCTATTTTATTAGATGATTACATAAAATAATTAAGTAAAAGAGATATATGTTTAATTGACATTTTTTATAATTAGTATTATTGAAATTGTTTTTTATTCTTTCATATATTTATTTGACTATAATATGTTACAATTACAGCAAAAAATACAAATTCTATTTTACTTATATAATATAATTTCTCAAAACCAATCACATTTTTACTGCATATTTTAAGACATATTAAAAACAAAACTAAAAATAAATTTTAATAATAAACATCTTTTCATCAAATAACTTTAATTATTTTAAAATATCATAACACTATATAGTTTAACGAGGTAGATATATTATATTTTAATAGTTAAAATTATCTGTATTTTTAATAACTCTTTTGATTTTTAATTTTCTGTTTTTATGTTTGTAGAACTTAATATAACCATAACAAAATACTTAACCAAATGGAAATCCTTATTATTAAAATTATTTAAAATAAAGTTCAGTATGCCATCCAATCAATCTTAGGCATAACACTATTTAGAATTTATAAATATTTTATTTATTGCAAATATTGATATGTGTTCATAAACTTCCAAAAGCTTATTAGTTACTTATGTATGTAGCTTTCTATTGAATATCGCTTTATTTTCTAATATTTTTTTAACAAATCAATATATATTTTGATAAACATTATGAAAATACATGCACATTTAAGCAATAAGTAAACGAATTTGATTTGACTTAATTATAATAAAAAATTATATTTTAGTTTGAATTTGAATATATATATATATATATATCAATATACGTACAACATGAGTGATTCGGCTAATATAACTTATATCTAAAATCATAGCTTTAACTACAATAAGAACATAGAATTGATTTATTTTATAAGAATATATAATTATATGATAATAGTTATTTATTTAATAAATACAAATTATCAGATGACTTAAAACATATTAACAAATGAAAAATAAAAACATTTACTCACTGTTACAATTCAATTCTTTTGTAAAATTTATATATGCATGAGATTTTAGAATATTATTATATTAATTTATGTAATTTAGAATCAGACATTTTAGTTTTTATTTTTTTTTTGCATTCTAAGAACAAGATCTAAAATTATACATAATCTTAGTAAGATATACTTATATTTCTAAGATAACAACCATTCAAATAAAACAATTAATGAAAAATTTAATATATTTAGAGTAAAATATATTATAGTTGAATTCAGAGAAATAGATAGAATCCAATATATCCAAATGATAACTAAATTGACTGTAAAAACAATAAAACTTACTAGATATAACGTACCTACAATCATATATATAATTAAAGTAATATAATATTATTAATATAAATTATACATACAAACTATAAATTAATATAAATATAAAGTAAATACCAATTAATTATTCTGGTATATTTATTTTATAAATATTTATGCCCGTGCATGAGCACGGGAAAATCACCTAGTTATATATAAATATAGAAATTTATTTTGACATGAAACATAAATAAATCATTACACATTATTGCTTAAATGATATCTTTTATACCAAAATTTTATTAGACTTTTATCTTTATAAAGTATTGTTATTTAATTATTAGCTAATTAAAATGTATCACGAAAAAAATTGTTTTTATCACTAAAAACCAACAAAACTTTTATTACTAAAAACCAACAAAATAGATTTTTGGCTTCTCTTCATAAATAGATTAAATTTCCTTAAACTAAAAAATTTGATTGGCAAAATAATGGTTTTACAAAAACAAAATACAGAAACCAAAATCTTGGTCGGGTAAAAACTTGTTTTTGGAAAAAAAGAAAAACCAAAATTTAATTCAGAAACTACAAACAATCATCACCTACCGTTAAATCCAAAAGTTCGGTTTTTAGTTTAGTTTGGTTAGAAGGTTTGGTTCAATTCGGAAACTTTAAAATTTAGGAAGAGAGTGTACCTTCTAATGCATTCTCCAACATCCTCTTAACGATTTCCACTGAAGAGTCTTCAACAAGTGTGAGGAGATGCTTCCCAATTGCTTCATCAACCGGAAGACCAGTCAGCTCAGCAATCTTCGTGTTCCAACCATTAACCAATCCATCAGAATCAACCGCCAATATTGGCACAGTAGCAGTCTCGATCAAACGCACCATCTCACTAGTGACAGCTTCTAGTTCTTGAATACCATCAATCTTTAAATCATTCAGCTTCGAGTGAATGATCTTTGTATTCACATCAGTAGTTTCTCCATCCTTGAAAGCATTCCTCAGAATAAGCTGCAAGGAGTGTATGGCATCCATCTCATAGTCCTTCCAAGGTAAACTCCTTGTCTTGACCACTTCAAGAAAAGCCTTGAACGATGACCTCGGGTGCATTCTCCTTGCATCGTCTCTGTCATCTGGATCATGCTTTGCACCTCCCCATCTCACTTCACCAGCGGTATGAGAACGGAACCAGAATATCATGTCTTTAGATGATATCCTCACAGCTGCCATTCCGCATACTGAATCTCCAAGAGCTAGAGCTCTAGGGAAGCCCGCGTCGTGTAAACTATCAGTGCTCAGACCCGTTGAGTCAGTGTGGTACTCACAAAGCCATGAAGCTATCTCCTGAAGATGGTAATCACTTGGAGTTATTCCTAGCTTCCAGACCTTGTCTTTGTATAAGAGAGCTGCTCCATCACATTTCACAAGGTCCATAATGTTGGGGCTCTGTGAGACGATACCTAGAGGAGCATCACGCATCAGCATATCGCACAGGAGTGTCTGTGTGCGCAGAATGTTCTTCTCCACGATCTGATTCTCAAGTTCCACCTCCTTGTTGACGTGTATAGCAAAGACCTGAGCTAGAAACTCACAAGCATACCTGAGAGGAAACGGAACAAATCTTGGAGTTGTGTTGTGACAAACCACCAGACCCCATAGCCTTTTTCTCTTTTGAGGTGCAGTGGTGGAATCAGGAGCCTCCCCTTCTCCATCTTCCTCGTTAACTACAACCGCCATCACCAGAGATGCAATTGAGTCCATGTTGGCCATGTACTGCAAATGGCAGCTGTGTGGTGCTCTAAGCGTGGAGCCACACAAGGTAAGATCAAAGGAAAGCTTCTCATCTTGAAGCACCCTAACATGTTTTGCATTGCAATCAACTATCATCCGAACCTTGTTCTTCATAAACAAGAAACGAGCTGCTTGAGGGATGTCTGTGGCTGGATAATGCAGGCCAAGATAAGGCTCTAGTCCAGGTTTTGTAACCTCAGAGACAACCTCTCCGTGATCATCATCATGAAATTTATAAGCCATCACCCTGTCATACCCGGTGAGTTCAAAAACCTCTTGAACCATCGTATCGCAAAGCCTTTCCATACTGCCACTAGGCAAAGATTGTAGCCTAGTGATTGCTTTTGCAGCGAGCTTGTATGATTGCAAAGCACCAGCAGCTGTCATGGGAACTTCGTAAGGCTTCACCGGTTCAAAGTCCACGATGATACTCCCTGTAACCCTGTGTACAATCGCATAGAAGGGCTTTGCAGAAGTCTTGCAATGCACAAGAATGGGATTCAACAAGGAGACATCTCCAAATCCAAGTGCTTTCTGCAACGCAGAAGCACTAGGAGCAGTGAAAAGGCTCCTTATATCGGTCCCTATGCCTAGAGCACCCTGTTCACCAACGCTAGGAACTGCATGACTGGCCATTGTCAGCAGCTCAGCAGCGTTCTCGCTGTATGCAATGACTTTGAAGGTCTTCTCATCCAAGGCAAGCAAACAACCGAAAGGCTGAATCAGCTTTCCCTTCTGTATGTGATGAAGGTAAGTTGTGGTCACCTTGTCAGACCTTGGTGGCTGGTTCTCCACAACAGGTCCAGTGACACGGACTGAGGTTGAGTAATCAAAGGAACTGCCTGATTCCTCGAAATCAGCATGGAGCTTTGCATCGACAGTGGTCTGCGCAATGATCCTAGCGCTGTGTCTTGACCGCCTTGAGCCCTCAGAGGACTGGCTTGGCCTAGAACCTGACATGTTTTACCTGATACCAAAGACATAACAGCAACAATTAAATCATCAGTGCCGTAATACAACTCCGTCTATAAAGTCTACATGGCTGACCAAGAAACAGATGCATCAATCAGCCTGCCATGTTCCACTATTCAATGATTCATTATCTACAAAGTAACAAGTAACTAAACCACCTTGATTATGATGTATGAAAAAGATAGCTAAGGAGTCATATTCCATGAATATTCATTATCTACAAAACAACAAGCAACTGAACCACCTTTGATTATGATATATAAAAAGATAGCTAAGGAGTCAGATTCCATGAATACTATAACTTTCTAAGTTATCCTAAAACCCAAAAATCAACAAGATCTAGACAATAAACATGTATCACAAATGGTAGTTGTTACTCAACATGGAGGAATCAAAGACACAATACTAAAACCAATATTGACTAAAACTAACCAGGATCTGAACCAATCTGCCTTCCAACATTCAAATACATCTATACATAATATAAGAAAGACTAAATAGGCGGTTAGCGATAAAGACTCTATAGCTATACCTTTCGGGGGATAAGCGATAAAGACACAGCAAAAGCAAACGTAAGAGCTACAAAATTTGAACACTAATAAACAACATCAAGCCAGATCAAACGAGAGATACAAAGTCTATAACCATAGAAAACAGGAGGATATAGATGACAACAGAGACTACTAGCCTTTTAACTAATTAACACCAAAATGAACTTCAAAACGCAGAAAAGAGCTTACTTAGTGTGAGTGCAGTAGCTGCTGAGCACTGAGCAGAAAACAAGCAAAGAAAGCTTCAATATTTATATGTAAATCAATAGAAAGGGAAAAAAAGAAAAAAAAAACTTGGGGAAAAGGAAAGTAAGCTACCTTTTAAAAGAAGGAGTTTTCAAAGAACCATGATCAGATCTTGTCTAGTCACACTCTTCAGAGAGGCTTTTTATTCTTTCTTTGCTAAATCTTGACCTCGAAACACCGCCTCAGCTTCTTCTCTCTTCTCTATTATTTGTGCTCCCTAGCACAGACGACGACGATGAATGGGACCACCTTAACATACGTATGCACATGTATCAGAGTATGGGGCTAATTTGTTTATATTTTATTTGGCGACAAGTTAAACAAGTAAAGCTAATTTTGGATAAAAAACAAACTGTACACACTTATCAATAACAAGGTCGGCTTCCCCCTTAACATTTTTCTCTCCAAAACAGAACGGTGGCCTAAGCAAAAATAAAGAAGCTGTTATTACTATTTTTACTTCGTGTTTTTGGAGTTAAATCCATTGAAAACTGATATTTATTTTTTACCGGTGTAACTATCAGTGTGCAAGTGGGAGAACAAGTTGAAGATGAGCTCAATCTGATCAAAGAGAATCGTCTAGAGGATAAGATTAAAAAAATAGTAAAAGATATTTATTATAAAAAAACACAAGAAAGAGAGAGAAGGATGGGTGACAATGTTTAATGAAAGCAATAACCAGAAGTGGAAAGTGGAGTTTTGAGGAAGACGACAAGGCAAGTCCTTATGGGCTTCACGTTTTCTCGGCTTTTTGCAGTTTGTTTATTGCCTCGCTGGGTCGATTACATTTAAAAAAGTAAGGGACTTTCCAGATTTGTATTCCTTTTTATCGACCTTTCACGTTTTAGATGCCTATTAGAGGAAGTAATTAAGTCGTTGTTACGGCATCGTATTTTTTGTATTTCTTAGAATATACAATGTTAGGAGGTTGTTAGGTTTGAAACAACACTTTTAAGTTCGGTCAGATTTTTGTATGAATGTGATGTATTATTTCTTTTGAAAATTTTACTCAACTAACATATCTTTAACCAAAAAATTAGATATAGATTCTTTACTAAAAAGATCTAACTAATTTTTTTTTTTTTTTTAACACTGATGCGAACAAATATTCGAGGCGGTACATACTTATTGAATGTTACAAGAAAATAGAGAAGATATCATTAGACATCCAAAAAGAAAGGAAATAAAATTTCACCCACCCTCTAATTGCCGAGCCTCCAAAGCGAGGAGGTGATGTAGCCATGTGGGAGCATTGCGGGCGAGATAGGACTGGTGGCGGTGATCGCGAGTGACACTTATTGCAATTGCGTCAGCAGCTTCAATGCGTTCTGGTAACGCGTGATCTAAACTCCATATAGTTATCTGGGCGAGCAGAAAGGAGATGTTGTGACAGATATGGCTGAGACTAGGATGCTCATTCGGATTTGTGAAGACGGCATGGAGGTTCTCCGAGGAAGTCTCAAAAATAATATTCGAAAAATGTAGATTGTGGATGCATTCCACAGCCCAAAAAAGAGACCACAAATCCGCTTCTGTTTTTGTGCGCATATAAGAGTAAGACCGGCGACTATGCATGATTGTCCGTCCATTTTCGTCTCGCAGAATCCAAGAAGCACCACTATAAGAATTCAAACTTTTCCAAGAAGACCCAACATTACATTTAAGGAACCCACGAGGAGGTCTTCTCCATGTAATCTTATCAGTAGCACCCTCATTGACATTTTCTTTTGTTCCTGTAAATGTATTAAACCATGTTGATTCTTCTTCAAAGGCTTTCTTAGCAATAAATGAAGGCTCAATATCCTCGGTTTTGAAGACGAAATTATTCCTAGCTTTCCAAATTTCCCATAACAGCCATGGAAAGACATTCCTCATATGGACATCCGTGGTATTGCTATTGGAAATCTTAATGAGGTGTATAAAATTTAAAAATGTTGAATTCCGAGAGAAACCACTTAAAGGTAATGGGAAATTAGCTTGCTGCCATGTTGTTCGAGCTTTCGTACATGTAAAAAGAACATGACATATACTCTCTGCCTCAGTACCACAAACCGAACACGTTGTGTCTATCGGAATACCCCGGGTAGCCAGACGTTGTTTAACCGCTAAAGCACCAGATAAAGCACGCCACATAAAATGTTTTATTTTTGGTGGAGCTTTAACTTTCCAGATTTCTTGCCATAATTTTTTCTCAATAGGAGTCAATGAATTACCTAAAGGATTGTCAAACTCAACCAAAGTCTCCAACAGCTTATATCCACTCTTAGTCGAATAAGAACCATTCGGTGTGAAACCCCATCGGATTGTATCTTCAGAAAGCAAGGATGGTTTCAAAAGTAAAATCCGTTGTACATCCTGTGTCGTAAAAGTTTGATGCAATAAATTTATATTCCACTGATTTGACCCCTGAATAAATAAATCCGATACTTTAAGTGTTAAATCTATGGAGCTGTCTTCCTGATACATTGGTGGCCTTGGAATAGTATCAATAATCCAGTTTTCCGCCCAAACATTAGTATCAACCCCATTTCCAATATGTCGATATAGGCCTTTTTTTAGCAATTCTCTACCATGCATGATGCTTCGCCATGCATATGATGGTCGTGTACCCATACCACATTCCAGAAAGTTTCCATTTTTGAAATATTTTCCTTTAAGAACGCGTGAGACCAAAGAATCAGGATGATTCCATATTCGCCAAGCTTGTTTTCCAAGCAAAGCCTGATTAAAACGACCAATGTCATGAAACCCAAGACCACCCTGTTCTTTTGGTTTACACAATTTTTCCCATGAAATCCATGGGATTTTCCTTTTTTTATCCCCACTACTCCACCAAAATTCAATAATCGCACTCGTAATTCGTTCACAAAGGCCTTTAGGTAATCGAAAAACAGACATTGCATATATTGGGAGAGCCAAAGCAACTGATTTTATTAATACTTCCTTTGCACCCATTGATAATGTTTTAGAATACCATCCCTGGAGTCTGCCTTCCAATTTCTCTTTGATAAAATTTAAAAGATCTTTTTTTGATCCCTGAAAACATTCAGGGAGACCCAGATATGAGCCTTCACCACCTTCCTTGTCGATCCCCAAAACCCTCCTTATATCATGTTTCGTGTCATCGGTTACATTTTTCCCAAAGATGATAGAGGATTTTAAAGGGTTAATCATTTGTCCAGAAGCTTCCCCATAAATTGCCAAACAATTCAGAATCTCTAAACTGTCACTGATAGACGCTTCACATAGCAGCAAGCTATCATCCGCAAACAACAAGTGGTGAACAGAAGGACTGCCTTTGGCTAACTTTATACCGTGTAATTTCCCCTGTGCTTCAGATCTATTTAAAACATGTACTAGAGCTTCAGCACATAAGATGAATAGAAAAGGAGATAAAGGATCCCCCTGCCGTATTCCTCTTTCAGGTTTAATAAAACCATGAGATCTTCCATTTAGTAACACTGAAAAAGTGACAGTGGTAATACATGACATAATCCAAACAACCCATTTCCGATCAAATCCCATTTTTTCTAGTAAAACTTCAAGAAAATTCCATTCAACCCGATCATAGGCTTTTGACATATCTGTCTTTATAGCCATACTTTCTCTACCAATTTTATCATTAGTGCGCAGACCATGTACCAATTCATGTGCTATAATGACATTGTCCGTAATTAACCTGCCACCAACAAAAGCCCCTTGAGTTTCCGAAATTATATTAGGTAAAATTGCTTTCATTCGATCGCAAAGAATACGGGAAATGATCTTGTATTGTACCGTACAAAGGCTAATGGGACGCATATCCTTCATTTCCGTAGGGTTTAAAATTTTGGGCAACAAAAATAATTGTGTATGGTTCCATCCAGCAGGAAGGATGGCTGTCTTAAAAAAACCTTGAACATCACCAATAATCTTTTGTCCCACAATGTGCCAATATTTTTGGTAGAAATAACCAGTGAGTCCATCTTCTCCAGGGGCGCTACCACTTTTAATACCAAAAGCTGCTTTTTTTATTTCCTCCGGTGATACCTCTCTGATTAGCAGTGTGTTCATCTCTGAGGTAATTCGATTATCAAAACCCTCAAACAAAGTTTCCAAATCTCCGGGATTAGAACTCGTAAATAAATCTCTGAAATATTCAGTAGCAATATGCCCTTTAGACCCTTCAGAAAAATGTTCGTTGCCAAAAATATCTTTAAGCATTAGGATTTTATTTCTTATTTTTTTACCTTTCACTACATTATGAAAATAAGTAGTATTTCGATCCCCTTCCCGTAACCATTCCTCTCTACTTTTTTGTCTCCAAAAAATCTCTTCTTCCCTATAGGCCGTAGCCAATTCGTGTCTTAACCTCCTTATCAGACTATAAATGGGGAATTGCTTTGAGCTTTCTTTGTCCAAATCAATCTGTAACCGTTCTATTCTTGTTTTCGAATTCCAGTCATTTGTCTTTTTAAGCTTGGATAATTCCGACCGACAACGAGCAATGCGATCAAGGACAGTAAGATTTGAATTAATATTATCAAAATCCCACCCCCGAATAATGGCCTCCTCTACCCCTCTTTTCCCATGCATACGTTTGTCAAAATAAAAACGTCCTCTATGCAAATTTTCTGGCTCAAGTGCGAACTCTATTCGTAGAGGGCGATGATCCGAAGGCCACATACTCATATAATCGGTAGACGATTGTGGAAAGAGTCTAAACCATTCATCATTACCAAAACTTCTATCCAAACGACATTGGACCCAATTATGATCCCTCGTACCTGCCCATGAAAGGGTATTTCCCGTACTTCTCATCTCCCTTATTTTACATGCTTCAGCCATATTCCGAAAATCAAAGAACGTGTTTTCCTCTCTAATAGCACCTCCCAATTTTTCGCCATTATGCATTAGCTCATTAAAATCACCAACCAAAAGCCATGCCTCATCTCTAATCACACCTATATCCATTAATTGATCCCAAACATATCGTCTTCTTGCTCTTACTGGATCTCCATATACACATGAGAGAAAGAATTTAAGAGACCCCATTGTGATTTTAATATCAATAATCCGATTGTTACTATTTAAAATTTCAACTGAGTAACATCCTTTCCACATTAAGGCTAAACCACCACTACGCCCAATGGGTTCCACCGTGTGTAAATAATCATACCCCAAACTTGATTTTAAAGCATCCATGTAAGCAAGTTTTTGTTTAGTCTCCATTAGGAATATAAAATCCGGGAAAAATTGGCGTCGTAAATCTCGAATACGTTGAACCGTATCCGAACTACCCGCTCCTCTACAGTTCCAACTTAAAATACTCATGAAAAATTAAAAAAAAAACTTCGTGGATTCACAAAAGAACCCAAAATTAGTCGGTTTAAAGAGACCAAATACAATAAGACGCACTTACACCAGACATATATTTGCCGGTTCCATGTTGAGTCCCAAAAAACAAAATGATAAGAGCTTATGAGGCACACGAAACAAACCGAATACTGCATTTTTATAAATTCCTTTTCAGATTTGTACTTAACACTTCCCCATACAACGAAATATGAAATAAGAAATATAGAACCAAGATCCAAACATAATGTTTTTTGTTGTATTTGAACTATGTCCAGGGCCCAGTCGAAACACATATAAAAACACTGATCCGAGCACTTCCCAGACCCTTGAACATATATTAAAACCCAACTTAATCCACCATCAGTCTCCCATTGTCCACCGATATGAAAGCCCAACCTTGTATCATTATTTAACAAGACTTTCCTGTAAAAGAAAAACTCTATACTATATGGAAGATTGAGAGATTGACCCCATAGCCATATGTATAAATATAACAATGAAGTCAGACCTTCTTCCTTTTTCAAGGACAACCAAAGTTCATCGTCAAACCAGCCCCATAAGGAAACCGTAATCCTCACACCACACCACGAACCATGAAACCATTTAAAACTTAACCAAAACCTTCTTGTACACCACCTCTTTATGTCACGAATTCCGCAACCAGCATCGTTCATACACATAACCATCCTCACAGAAACCATGTAAAAATTCATGTACCCAGAATCATAGAGAGAGGGCTTTAACACATTATTGACAACAAACGAGACCAGTGAAAGAAGGCCACCATCAGACCATGAGACCAAACATTTATTCAGAAAAAAAAATGGAGACAGCACTAAAAAGTGCATACCAAGACAGAGAAAGCCTATAACCCAGGCCAAACACCAGCAATAATGAAAAACAAAATAAAAAGAACTGGGTATCCTATCAGGAACCATCATTATTCAATTACTTAAATAAAAAGAGAAAAAATAAACCAGCAGATGTTGTATGCGTCACCTCCCTTATTCTAAAGCCTCTTTAGCTTTGGGAACATTCTTCTTCCCCTCACCATTATCTTTACCTCCATTCTTCATTGGCCCCTTTGGTAACTTATTCTTCCTAGGAGAGAGAATGGTCTGAACAATCCGCTTCTTGGTTGTTCCCCCAAAGGTCCCCGTCTTTACACCCTTCTTCTTTGCAGGCTTGACCACGTTAACCTCTTTGATGTTTTGATCAGCCAAGATAGCATGCTCCTTCATCTCGACGTCTAACATCTTACCATTCTCAGCCTCCATATCTGCCGCCTCCATATCTGCCTCCTCCATTAAGTCAGGTACCTCACCCTCCTCCCAATCCTCACTAAGAAGCTCAGAGTCTGACAGAAGTTCACCCTCTATCATCATGTGAGCATCATCTAGAGCAGAGTTCATATCCTGCTCCACCATATCAGCAGCCTTCTTCCTTGCTTCTTCCCTATGAATATTATCATCAACCAGAGATTCAAACCTCTTATTATCCACTTCCTCTGCATCTATTTCCTCCTCAAATTTGAGAGATTTTCTGGCCTTAGAATGGCTTCCATCACCCACCATAGAATCCTGAATTTTGGGGACCTGCGGAGCTCCTTTGAAAGCATCCAACATCAATTTTTGAGGATTGCTCAGATTAGATCCTTCCTCGGTGGTCTGCAAATTCTGAATGCCTCCAGAGTTGATAGCAAAGCGTTCATTCATGCCCCTTGGAGCCCCGTATCCATACTGCCTACCACCCCGAGAAGACCCTTCACCAAACCTTCTTGAAAATTTTTCTTTGTATGAACGATGAGCACCATCATGTCTGAAACCACTTTGTCGTTGCCTCATGACTCCCTTACCTTTATCTCCATCTATAACCCCACGTACACCCACCTGATGTCCATCTCTATTGGTCTCCCCCATCACCTTTCCATGAGTGACCGCAGCCCTATAGCTCGTGGCAACGGCCCCTTGTTCTGGGTTAGAGCTCTCAGTGACAATGGCCTCTTCCTCCACCAAGCTTGGACAACGTGACTGATCATGTGTCATACAAGAACACTGACGACAGAAACCAAAAAGTTTCTCATACCGGAGATTGACCACCACCTCAACGCCTTCTTCAAAATCAACTTCCATAGAAAACACCAAGGGTTGGAAGCCATCCACTTCAACTCTGACCCTGCCCTCCAACAAGTCTACCTCTCCTTGAACAAGGCCAATGGCTTCTCCCACACTATGAAAAGTAGAAGCTGCCCAAAACTGAAGAGGAACGTCAAGAACACGCACCCAGAAGGTGATCTTGGACGGATAGTTGACATCCAGGACAGGTTTCCACCGCACCAAAGACACCATCCAGTAGTCAAAATGGAAAGGTTCCATCTTCAAAACTTCAATGATGTCCTCTTCCAGATCTAACTAATTTGTGCAAGCTAAAACTAACTGTTACTATGTTGAACATATCCGGCCCGAGAAAAAATGTGTTGGGATCTTTTGGGTATTTTGTTGAGCATGTCAGGCCCAATAAGTATAAAGGCCTTTTGGCCCAAAAAACATTTGTGGGATCATTAGAGCGCACATCCAAGACAAAAGAAAACTGGTTTCAGACATCAAACAACCGTAAGAAAATTCAAACAGTTAAAAGTTTTTAACCAATCTTCACAGTAATAAAAATGTCAATGGTTACTTTATGTGTGATAAGGAACATACACAAACAAAGATGATCGAATACAACCCATGTGTAATTTTTTATCAGTTTGTTTAAATCAGTCTTTGGGACTCTGCAATGAATCCTCCAGATCAAGTTCTAACCCAACACGGTTCCTTATAGTCGCAGCCGCGTGACAAGACGAAGGCGACGTCATTTTGCACATCCTTCCCAATTCTTTAAACCTCTCAACATCAAAGTGTTGACTTTTCAACAGCTTCTTCTGCCTCGAGAGGAACAGTCTCTTCATGAAATCCTGATAAGTCGGATCTCTCGAAGTTATCAAGAAGTAAGCATACCCCACGATGATACTTGTCGCAGTCGCAAAGAACGTGATTGGTTCCATCACATCCCACGAGAACTCCCAGAAAGTTAGTCTTACAAAGAGACCAATCTGAACTATCGCAGTAGCTAGACCGCCCCAAAGAATCTTCCTCACTTGTCTGTGAGCTAACACGTCGATCTCTTCTTTTATGGTCCTCATCTTGTTGAACTCTTCCTTGATCTGATCTTCCTCTGGAGTTTCATCTAAAGGCATCGCTCGTCTGATCAGATCCACCACCTGAAAAAAAAAAGATTCGATATTAGAAAAAAAAAAGACAAAAAAAAAAGAAAATTAAAGCTTTTTTGAAGAGTGTTTTTTTTATTCTCGGACCTTGTCGGGATGAAGATAGACTTTGTCACGGAAGATCAAGACGACTCCAGCATCGTCAAGAACGCGAGCGAATACGTGAGCTTCGTCGGGAGATCTAGCGAGACCCATTCCTTGAGAAGCTTCAAGAAGTGAACTGTAAGGCACGACGTCTCTTTCAGACATAGCGACAAGCTTTTTCTTCATGTCTTCAACATTCACCAACCTCATTAGCTTCTTCGCCTCCGCCATAGTGATCTCTTTCTTCATTTCCTCCTCCTCTGTTTTGACGGTGAAGCTTCGTAAACCACCACCACCACCAAGCAGCAACGTCCTCTGTGAAGAAGCTCGCATCGCGGCGGACATTGCCGTACGTCTTATCAAACCCGTTGACCACATTCTCGTGAAACTATTCGAAGATCTGAGTGAAATGGATGTAATTAAATTAGCCTCGCAGATCAAGAATTATAAAAGCCATGAATAAGAATTAAAAAAACAATGTGTTATTCGATTCGATAAGTAGTGACTTAACGCGCTCAATTAAGAATCTAAACCTCTTTTATAAACTCCATAAAGATCACATGATTAGGACATTATGAAACTTTTAAAAGAGCCATTAAATTTATTTATTGGATTTAGAAATTAGAAAAAAGTAAAAAAGATTGTGTAAGGTGACCATGTTTGACTTTGTTGCATAGAGAATGGCTTTTCCTAAATTCGTAACTACCACACTTTGAAGATGATTTTTATTTTTTGTTGTTAAGAGTAACTAAATGCATAAAGTATTCATTTATGGGAGCTTTATTTATTCAACCACCTTCCAGACAAGACAAAAGGATTATCCAACTACACTTCTGTGACGCGGAATGTGTACATTACAGACCAAGCTACTTGATTGACACATGAACAACATTAAAACACGTATAGTGTAAAGAGAAGATCCATTTTTATTGCATAGATAAATGAATGCAATCTGAATCCTGTAAGACTACGAATACTGTACGTACCTGAAAAGTACTTCAATGTTTTTTTTCTTTTCTTTTTAAATAAAAGTGTGAATGAGGAAGAAGAACATTTTTTTTTTATTAGAGCAACAAGTACTGAGAGCAACTATCCACCGTTAAGAGATTGTGCACTCCCTCAATCTCTCTCTTTTTTATTCTTTCCAGGAACTGTTTTGAATAGAAAGCAACGCCAAGAACAGATATGATCTTCCCTGTTTTTGCCCCTTTTTATCTCCTTGAGAATAGCTATGATCGTTATACTATCTCAAGGGCCAGATTTGTTTGTTGAACCTTTTTTCTTTCTTTGCGATTTAAACACAATTCCAGAGAAGGATCACTACATTACAGGGCATTTGTTAATAGTGTCAATTTCCACGTTTAGTTTTGTTGAATTAACAACAAGACAACAATTTTATTATTGTTATTGTATGGTAGATAATTAATGAAATACATATTGCACAAATAAACAATAGTTTGAACCATGTTACTATTTATGAGCAAGCATCTGTTTAACGTGCAAACAAAGAAGAGTTTATTAAGAGGTTGACTGAACAAGACAATTAAAAAGGGTTTTTATATTATGGTTAGTCTTACTCTTACCATAATTTTGCTTACAAGTTGTATGTAATTGTAATAAAATGATTAATAAATTTGGAATTGATAAGATTTTAGTTCTAGATTAGTATCGACTTTGCAATTAGGGCACCATTTTCGTAAAGGGATAACTAACAGCAATTATTAAAAACATGTACGTAACTAGCAATAATGACATTATGAATTGTCTTACTGCAGAGATCTAAAGCCCGATATAAAGGTCTCTGAACTATGCCACATCAGATTTAAAATTCAAACAATCAAGCAATAATATAGTGCCACGTCATATAGCTCATCTCTCTTCCGAAAATTGTTCGATACACACAAAGCAATCACACAACTTCCTCAAGAAACTTTAAATTCAAGTTTGAAAACATCTTTTATAATCAGACAATATTTATAAATAAATACATCTCAGGTCATCGAATATTTGAGAAATTAGCTAAAAGGAGAGGGGTATATTACTCAATTTCTTTACGTTCTTTTCTGTGTAGTATTTATACCCTTTGATTATCTCCAAATTTCTATAACACGCAACTAAAACTTATAACAGTTACATCTTTTTACCCGCTTGGCATGGTTTGTGTTGGATTAGTGTATAACCACAAAAGTTTGTTTCCTGTAATGAATTTCGATTTGTGAAGAAAAATACTTCTTGTTGTTATTGCTGTCACTAAAAAAAAACAGTTGATACTATGACCAAAAAACTATAATTAAGCAAATGTCTGTAACAACTTCAATAACTCTTTATTGGTTTGATAGATGCTATTGTATCACAAGAACAAGAATGAAGATAGCTAGCTAAGTGAGTTTAGTTATGATTCTGTTTACTATTAGATCAAATTTAAAATACTTTTTTCCGAAGACCCATTTTCTGTTGTTTATCTAAAGCAAATCAGAGATTTTTTATGCACAAGGCTCTTGGATAGCTTTTTTCATGACATAACACATAAATTAACATATGACATCATGTTTGATAACTTTGTGTCCATCGTTTCATACTGTTTATTGTATCGATTACCCACTAAATGAACTTTTTTGTTTGGAATGATTTTATAGGTGCTAATTGGAACTTAATGCTAAACAAGGCCTTATCAGAGTCACATATGAAAAGGTTGGTGAAGCACTCAGCCACTAGTACAAACTTCATTCAACAAACCAAACTGCAACATCGACATGTATGTTGAAAAGGAGGCCACAATAGAATGTTCACCTTCCAAAGTATCTACGAGAGGAGAACCACAGTTACACGACTTGTAATGCTCTCTACAAGGAAATGTGTATATATCTCAACAACTCAAAGAATGCTCCAAATCAACACACATTTATCTGACACTTATTCTATTACCAGCACAATCCATAAAATACAACATATGTTTGTTTTGACATTTGATCCTTGTGTTTTGTATTGCAATGGTGCAAGTCTATATCTCAGCTTGAATTTGTCATTTTGGTATGTAAATAGACATTGTTCAATCTAATTCCTAGATTTTACATATCTTGAATGTGCATGACAAGAGAATTGAAAATACAAGAACATAGAAACAAAAATCAATCATAATGGTCAGCCTAAGCTCATCAAGTACATTCCACAGTAAATGCATTGGATCTGATGATGGTTAATAAGATTTAAGCTTTAGCCTTTTTTATGCTGTAAAAGATAGGCAGGCTCAAAAGAGCCAAAAAGTAGAGCTCGGGATGATGGCTATTACATCTGTTGATCAGAATAGAAGCGAAGGACCCAACCTACGCTAAGCCTGCTTCTTCATAGCTCAGAACTGCACCAGCCGGGAATCGAACCCGGGTCTGTACCGTGGCAGGGTACTATTCTACCACTAGACCACTGGTGCTTTGATGTTCAAGAGCTAGTGTTAACACATAAAATACAAATGAAATTACAGAAACCTCTATTACTTCCAACTATCATCTAGCCTGATAACACTCTTAATACTACTATATCGCTAGCCTGGCCAAGTAATTATTATACATGGTTTTTCATGTAATATTTCTAGTATGCCAAATTGTCTTATTTATAGCAAAATATTTATTGGTAATCACAAAACTTTCTCAATTCCATATTATATATACTATGATTCAAACATATATGGCCCATGGGTAAATGCCATAAGGCCCAACTGAAAAAGATTAATTAAAGATAATTAAAGATGAACAAACATAAAAACGAGTGAGAGCAAAGATCGGCCACGACCACAATAGACGGATCGATGAATACAATGGAGATGTTTGTGAGTTGTATGAATATGGCTGCTAAGAAAATGCAACAGGACATCTTCAAGGCACTCCTTCTATTCATTCTGGTTTCGGTTGGTGAGTCGGTTTGGTTAGACGTGCCGACCTCGGGAACAAAGTGTGTGTCTGAAGAAATACAGAGTAATGTTGTCGTCTTGGCCGATTACATCATCATCTCTGAGGATGATTCTTTACTACCCACTATATCCGTCAAGGTAGTTACCTTCGATCTCTGTTTCCGAATCATCAACTTCAGTGATTTGAATTTGCATTTTGTTACTTGATCCGTAAGTTACAACTGATCCATACTCAAAATTTCTGAAAGCAACCATGGTGAAATTAATAAAGCGTGTGTTAATTCTCGATCCGAGTTTCCTTATTTAGCCAACCATGCTCGTGATGTTGCATGTCTTTCTTTGATTGCTATAATTAATTTATTTTCCGTTAATTGACGAAGGCAGTTTCAACTCGTTGGTTAAGGGTATCTCATATGCACGTAGTAATAACACAAAAACATTTCAAATGTTAGTTGCTACGAGAGGTCTTTATATGATTGTTTTGGAGACTATCATTAGATTGAGAGCAGTATTGGATGTAGACCGTTCATCTAGTCCTTGCTCCTCTGAGTTAGTCTTAATGTTGTAGGTGACGTCCCCGTTCGGCAAAAAACTGCACCACATGGAAAACGTTACAGTTGGGGAATTTGCATTTACATCGCAAGAATCAGGGAACTACATGGCCTGCTTTACGGCAGATGCAAAGAGTCACGGAAACACAAACGTTAGCATAAGCGTTGAGTGGAAAACTGGAATCGCTGCTAAGGATTGGAAAAATATTGCTAAGAGAGAGAAGATCGAGGCAAGCTTTCAAAGACATTTTTTGTTTTATATTTTCAAAGAAATCTAAATATGATTTGATGCTTGATAACGTAGGGAGTGGAGCTGGAGATAAGGAAACTCGAGGCCGCAGTGGAAGCCATCCATGAAAATCTAGTCTACATAAGAAATAAGTAAAAAATAATATTATGATCAGCTGCATATTCAGTTCTTTGCTGTGTCCAACTCTAAAGTTTTGTGTGATAAATCAACTCAAAAATGGGTAATTTTTTGCAGAGAAGCAGATATGAGAACAGTGAGTGAGAAAACGAATGCGAGAGTGGCTTGGTACAGTACAATGTCGATGGGTATTTGCATTGCTGTCTCTGGTGTACAAGTAGTCTACTTGAAGCAATACTTTCAGAAGAAGAAGCTTATCTAAGCTGCTTTTTTTACTCATCCACATTCTTTTTAAAAGCTTTTTTTTTTTGTTGAGTTCAAAGTAATAATAAGGATTTTAATTTGCAGTTTCTGTTTAGTTCAGGGCTATAAGCCAATCAACAGATTTCCATTTCTGCACAAAAAAATTAAAAGTGATTTATTAAAATAATTTTATCCATTCTCACAAAAAAAAAATTAGCGACATAAATATTTATTGTGTTTTTGATTATATGTTATTTTAACGATTCTAAAACTATTTATCTTTTGGAATAAAAACCATCATATTGTGCCAAATGTGCTAAATTTTTAACAACTAAAAATAACACATTTATATTTATTAACACCATAAGATAAAATCAGTTAGGTCCATATCAGTAATTACCAGTGTTTTGTAAACCCAACCCGAACCGCGGTTGAACCGATAAATCCAATGACCCAAAATTAAAAACCTGCAAACACCCGAAAAAATTAACTAAAAACGAAAATCCGATACCGGTTAAACCAATGGTTGAACCAATAAATTAACTTTTACTTTTTCTTAGTTTTAAATTATGTTTTCATTTTGTTTCTGTTTTATATTCTAAATCTATAATTTACGCTTGCAAGAAAGGTGAGTAAGTTATTATTATTATTATTTAGTTTAGTTTATATCAAACTAGGGCCGGCCCGCCCTACGGGCGGGGTATACTTCATCTATGATTTAGGTTATTATATTTTATTTAATTTTATGGTTTTTGTTTTAGATTCACATTTTCAAAATTTGTATGAGATATACTATTTTATTAATTTAAATGGTTGATTAGTTTGTTCGTAAGTAATTTTTATTTGACTTTTTGATTATGAGTTAAATAATTTGAATTTAACAACTAATGTGTATGATTCTTTTTGAAGTTCTCGGAATAGTTGAATATAATTTTGAATTGAATATTAATGGCTAACATATAAAATATAATCTTTTCAATAATTTTAAAATACATTACAATATATTGACTATATTGATTATGTTTTGTTATTGATAACAATTATTTCTTTTGTTTATTAGATATTTATATATTTTAATTTTATACACATTTAAATTATAATGATTTAGAATACATATACATGTAGATGATGGAAGACGTGGGTTCATTTAAATTTTTTTTTTTTTAGTTTTATAAAAAAGTGGTGTTAATTTATTGAACATATCCATTTAAATTTTTAATAAGCAAAACCATATAATTGGTTTCTAAAGATAATGTTTGGAAAATGAAAAATGTTTTAGATATTTATAAGTTTATGTAAGGAAATTTGTATTTAACGTCCAGAAAATAGAAAAAGTTTCTGAAAAAACTAATAACTGAATAATTTTAATAATATATAGTGGAGAATGAAGGGAAATGAGAATTATTATGAAAATTATTGGTTCAAGTAGATGTTTAGCAAATTTAGAGGGGTTAATAAACTAATTAATGTATAACATTTCACCAAATCTTTTTTAAGTACAAAGAAACATTAGTTTCCAAAATACACATGGTCGTACAAAGAATATTGTGAATGGCATTCCTCGGTGGTTGTGAATATTGTTAGATAACACACCCGTACATCCGCAACTGGTCGCATCGATCCCATTTGTGAGCTGATCAATCTCTATTTTGGTTTCAAGCTTATTTTTTCTTCTGACTAAAATAAACCTTTTTGGGTTGTTTTGGTTTGATAGGAAGATTCCAACAGGACGTTGCCATCCAAACTGGAAAGAGGTCGAGACTAAAGCAAGTGGAGAGCATTCCACCATATGGAATGGAGCTTAAGAAATAGAAGTATTGGTCTATTTAAATCCTCTCTGCTGGTCTGTGAAAAGGTTTGACAAATCTATAAACTTGATTTTTTTTTCTTTTTTTTTTTTGCTTGTGTTTGTCTCTTCATTTTTGCATTGTGGTCTGATAAAACAAATATAATTTTGTATTATAAAACTTCTCTAACTTTTGTATTTTGTACTTTGTTAAGGTGTGTTATAATTTGGGTTTGTGAATCATGTGTGAACCTTTTTGTACCACTCTCCGTTTGTAGTGGAAACTTAGGTTGTTGGATGATACTTTTTATGTTCAGATGGTGTTAGTAATAGCTTGTTAGGCAAGTAATCGCTGAATTCTTATACCAGGTTTGTGAGCCTGTTATTTTAATATGTTTGTATTTGTAACACATGTGAAAGATGAGACATTGAGCCAAAGTTTCTTGGCACAGGTTGAGCAGGAACCGCTACAAATAAAATCAATTTGCTATATTGTTGAAGAACCAGAATTACACACAGAAACTGACAGATCATGTACTAAAATATTTAAATTCTGGTTGACATGCCTGAGAGGGAGCAGTGATGACAAATCATTGAGCAGTGGAGCTGCTGGTGCAAGTCCAGTGTCTTGCGCAACCAACCTGCATAACTGAATATTAAGTTGTTAGGCTTAGCGATATACATTTTTAATCTCACCGAATTAGTAAATGTATAGAGACAACAATTCTCAAGAAGTTACCTGTAGAAAAAAACTACTCTCCTGCAGGTGTTTCCTTGTCAAAGTATAAGTGTGTGCTTGAGGTGGCATTCAAAAACAACGGCGTGCATAGAATAGGGGGTCAATGCTATGACCAACACTAAACGACTGGAATGTAGGTTTCAGTTTGGTTGCTTACCTCCCACCATCTTGGGGATGATACTGGTTGCAACCACAACCCTCGGATCACCTAGCATCCTTTCTAGTCAGCTTGAAATACTGATTGCTCTTTGTCCCATCAAATGAACTCAGCTCATAAATACCTCCCAATCTGAAGGGCGTTAGAAAGTGTTCAACCAGTGGATGCTAATTGATCTCTAGATCATCATAGACTGCTTCCTTTTAAGAAGAAACATACATTATATAAACACACTTTTTATATCCAATAAGTGAAAGCAACATAATATTCAGTGACTTTCCGTTTTTGATGATGTATCATAAACGTATCAAAAACAAATCATGAAGCTCTTTATTAAGAAACACGAACTGGAACTTTAATTCCAAGGCGAGAAATACAAAAGCAATACATGTAGATCTTTTGATATTATGATTTGATTTCAGAGGTCTTTGGGAGATACTTTGGTTTGTCGATTGGATAAAGAGCAGGTTTTGTCAGCTTTCTAAGGAGGATCACAAACAACAGGGGAGAGGCCATTAAATCATCGATCATGAGTGAAGATAACAAAAATAAGACATATCATCGAATAGGAAAAATATTATAAATAAATATTTTTTGGATAAACAAAGTTTCTAACTTTTTGACTGAATCATAAAATAATCACAATCGCCATTAAAATGTAGAGGATGTAACATACCTACGGATGATACAGAGCCACAACCAAAGGTCTTGAAGAGAGCTTGGAGCAATTTGACATGTCTTCTCATTGACCTTGATCCGGAGCTTAATAACATCTTCTTCTTTTTTTTTGAACAACCATCATTCTTTCTTAACTTGACAATTAAGCCTCACGTTGTGGGTGATAGATTAATGAAGGGTGTAACAGATTTATTCGGTAATTGTATCCGTTTGTGAAGGAAGAAGAACACTGATTTCACCCTAGATGGAAACGCGGCGTCTTATCTCACGGACCTGATAAATGGGCTCGTCTGTAACAAAGTAAAGAATACAAAGTGAACATAAAAGCCCACCAAACTCCAGATTTAAATGAAACGCGGATTGAATGTGTGTTTAGACACGTGTTGGTATCTGGTAAACCTAATTACTGACGTGGCACTGTTACAGAAGGGAAAACCCTTCTTTATAGTAATAGATCATTACATTTTTTAACTTACAAATCAAAAAGAATAAGATCATATGATCGAGTGGATTATGAATCTATTGACAAAACATAGTTTTGGATTGTTGAAGAAGAAGAATCTGGCTCTTGATTATAATGAATTAGAGAATACTCTTGCTAAAGAATATCCCGTAGATGATGAAGTAACAAACTTAGAAAATCTTGTTGGTAAGTTTTAAATTTAAATTAAACCTTTTGACTTTTTAGCATACATAATACATATTACACAATTTTATCTGTGTTTTTTTAGATTTTGATGAAGATTTTACTACGTCACATGAAGAAAATTAACTGAACGATGATAGCGAGAATCAAAATTAGTTGATGTGATTTGGTGTTAGTTTATTTTTGTTATTGACAATTTATTACAATGATGTTTTATTTTTGATTTATTTTGGATTTGAAGTTTATTTTATTATTCTCATCAGATATTTAAATAATTATGAATTTTATATCTTGATTTTTTTAGATGTCATTATTCTTTACTTGTTATAAAAAAATTTAAATAGTCTAAACTAGTTTTTGATATTTTGTATATTTATACATTTTATGTTTTAAAAATATTTAGAAAATATTTAACTATAGTTTCTATATTTTTACTTTCATAGCTAATATATAATTATATAATAAAGTTTTATTTATTAATCTGTAGTTCAACCACGGTCAACCCAGTAAATCGTCGGGTTGAGAGTCGGGTTTAAAATCATTGCTATATACAGTAAAGGCCCAAATTTATTAAGAGACCATAGAAACAAATAATCCAATATATAAAGGCAAGGCCCATCAAACAAACCCTAGCCTCAAAACACAGATACATAAGCGTCTTACTCGTGTACGGCGGCTTCTCTTAGAGTTCTTACTTAGTCGCAAGAAGGAAAAATGCCGGCGGGACATGGAGTTCGTGCGAGGACAAGGGATCTGTTCGCGAGGGGGTTCAGGAAGAAGGGTACAATCCCACTCTCGACATACCTCAGAACATTCAAGGTCGGCGATTACGTCGATGTGAAAGTGAACGGTGCGATACACAAGGGTATGCCTCACAAGTTCTACCATGGTCGTACCGGCCGTGTCTGGAACGTCACCAAGCGCGCCGTCGGTGTCGAACTCAACAAACAGGTCTGAGGAACTCAACATTGATTTATGTCTGAGTTAGTCAAATCTATTGCATTTTTATGAATGAAATGTGCAACTACTTAAGATCTGTCTCGAAGTTTTTTTTATTTATGAGGGTTTCTGTTCTTTTTTTTTGCTGAAATTAGTTCTCTCTACTATGCTGTAGCTTGCCTTTAGATTTGGAAAGTGATTGCTTATGTCTTGTCTTTGAACATTAACAGTTTTAAATCAGTCTTATAAGTTACATTCAATTGATTGAATACTTTTGAACCGTTTTGTGGTAATTTGGATAATCCAATTTGCAAATCATATCTTGCTGGGATGTTGGTATCATGCAGTGTTATTAATTTGGCGCACATTAATAATGTATACTTACATTTTTTTAGTTTCTATCTTGATCGGTAACATGATTGACTAACATATATATGGTTGGTGGTGTGTGTGTTTCAGATTGGAAACAGGATCATAAAGAAGAGGCTTCATGTGCGTGTGGAGCATGTGCAGCAGTCAAGGTGTGCTGAGGAGTTCAAGCTGAGGAAGAAGAAGAATGATGAGCTTAAGACCGCAGCTAAAGCCAGAGGTGAGACAATAAGCACCAAGAGGCAGCCTAAAGGACCCAAACCAGGATTCATGGTCGAAGGTATGACCTTGGAGACTGTCACTCCTATCCCCTACGACGTCGTCAACGATCTCAAGGGAGGCTATTAGTGTTTTACTTTCTTCCACCCCCAGTGTTTTGCTCAGACTTTTTTTTGGCAGTTTTCTTCCAGCTAGTGTTTGATCGTTCTTCATGTTTGTTGGCTACAGTTACAATTTCTGTGATGCTTTCTTATTCAGAAGTTTGTCTCTTTTTCTTCAAAGTAATAACATTTACAATCTCCTACTTAGTTGTTTCGATGTGTAAAATCATACACCACTTATAATGCTGCTGATGCCTTCAAAGAATGATATCATTGCACCTAGGTAAATTAAAATTTTACATTCTTGGTATTGTGATTTCGTTGCATTTGCTTAACCATCCTACTCACGTATACAGAACCGTCATATTGTATACTGAGATGGGCACGTGCAGCTGAATACGTAAAGCAAAATCTAACCTGATCAAGCATCCAAAATTCATCTCTGACACTAGGGATCAAATTCTCACCAATTCTGTCTTGGTCCACTCATAAACATATTTTCAGGCTTTCTCGAGTTTCTCATTCTTCTACAAATTCTGATTCATTCTACCTTTGTCTTTTTATGCATATATATTGTTTACAACATTTGTATCAGTTTTAACTATAACTCAACAATGGTCGTTTTCGTATTAGATTTCATTTGCATTAGATTCTTGTACATGGAATTTGAAGAGAGAAAGCAAGTGTCGATATGCATATCACAAACTTGTTCGGGAATACAGAAGCTCAGACACACACTAGCATAGGAAACTATTTGGAATGGTCTATATATATAGTCTTTTTATTTGAAGAGAAGATTGGCATATCAGGACGGGCTGCAGTTGCATGACATTTTCTTCCTTGTACACGCAGCCCCACATGCGTAACAGAACTTGTGGTTGCAATGTCTGTGATAAAAAAAAAACACAGATAATTAAGTAGGAGTCAAAGACAAAGAATATAAAACCAGTCTCAATAGCAAACCTGCAGCTAATGCGTTGGCACCCGCCATTTTTCTGAACGACTGTGGCACACTGGGGACACTTCATCCATCCCTCTGTCTTCACTAAAGACTCGAAAAGCGCGGCGTCAGATGTCAGGTAAGACTTGGACTTCTTGAACTCATCGCACGTCTTCTTATCATGCCATGGAACATGGCATTTTTTGCAGAAACACAAGCCGCACTTCACGCACGTGCGTGCTACTGACTTCTTTTGCCGAGGATCAACGAGGTCGTGGTCGGACATCAAAAAGTTACAAGAAGGCTCGGGACAGTAGACTCTGTCTAAAACGGGAATGGCCTTCTCCTTTTTGCGGTGGATGATAAGATTAAGATCATTATCGTCAGCAATACCTCTACAATCCTCTAGCACAAGTTCTTTGTCGCAACCAGGGTAAGGGCAGAGTAGGGTGTCCCCTCGTGCTCGTTGGGATGAGAAACAATCCCTTATGCACGTAAAGCAGATGCGGTGGAAGCAACCGCTCTCCACCTCAAGTTTTTGACGAGGTGAAACGTGTGCGTAGCAGGCTGGACAAGTCTCATACTCAGTGTTGGTGTCGTCACGCCATCTGGTTTGGGAAGCAATGGCATCTTTTGCGAGCTTAATGACAGAATTCATGTCTCTGCGCACAGGGAATGCCTGGCAAGACGTGAATTCTTTCTGAAGAAGAGTCACTTTCTTCAAAAGTTTTGCTACAATGGACTCTTTCGGTGCAGCTTTATCTGTTACCTGTGAGACACACATACAGGTAACTTGTGAACTTACTTGTGAATAACACAAAAGAGGATACTGGATGATAAAAAAGAAGAAAAGAAGAGACGTCTTGACTTACGTAATCCAAGATGATGGAATCATCACAGAAGAATTGGATACTTTTGACACCAAGTTCCAACGCCCAACTCAGCCCTTGAAATATGGCAGCCAATTCCGCAGCTTCAGGGTGCACCAGGAATCCTCGGGTTCTCAGAGCTTTGTAAGTCTCCAATTTCGAGTTATCATTCGAGTCACAGAGGGACAAGCCTGAACCACCCACCAGCGTAGTAACATTCTTAATAAGCTCTTCACTCACCAAACCCTTGGAGTATAACCGATAGGTTCTAACCGAAACAAGATCAAGCTTCTGCCTCGCCAATTCCAATTCTTCATCATCCATGCTAACTTCTTCTCTGTGGCAATTAGCGGTTGGATTTATAGATTCCATATTCAAACAAGGCTCATGCAATTTATCAATATGCTCGGGATGAAACAAATCTGAAAACAGAAACCTGATTTGACGCGAAATCAAAAACCCGAAGCCAAGCGTGAATCAAAAAGCTGCAGCAAGATCGGAGAAAAACCCTAAAAGTGTTTTTGATTTCCAGAACCATCAACCTTATATCTATATCTATATATATAGACACAAGAAAATGGGATCTCTTGACATCCAAGCAACTCACAATTTATTATTATTATTTATTTGAGCCATATCTAATAATAATATTTTTCCAAGCCCATTAGACTCAAAATAAGAGAAATAAATGATGATAAAAAAAAATCTGGCCACAACAAAAAGTAGAAGAATAAAACCAAGACATAGAAAAATAAAATCTAAGAAAAAATATTCAAAATCCTAAAAATAATTTCAAACAAATGCTTATCTACTAATAATAACAATCCCAATTAATTTTAAAGGTTTTGAATTTTAAAAGTTGTGTCTATTCATATAAGTATCCTTGCAAATAACTACTTTTCCAAATTTTAGCAAAAAATAAATAAATAATAACTACCATTAAACTGTAAGAATGTGACTATTTTAATTAAAAAGTTGTGACTTTTCATATAAATATATTTACAAAAATAACTACTTTGAAATAGAAAGAATGTGGCTATATATAAGTTTGAAAGCTTTTTTTTCATTTTAAAATACCAAAAATAAATGTGAAAGCTTTTTTTTCATTTTAAAATTTTTATTAGTTTTTTAAAATGTCTAGGGGTACATCCATAATGATGTTTTTTTCCTAATAAATTTCATCTTTTCATAAAAAAAAAATATTTTTCATTCTGGAAATGTAATGATTCATAATAGGTAAAATGTGTAAATATATGCTTTATCATCGTTGCTCAAAAAAATACGTTATCATCATAAAAATGTAAATTTCAAACTAAAATGCTGAAAAAATTTCTTACAGATTATGAAAATGTGTAAAAATGTATTTTATTATTCTGATAATATGTTTTTACGTATAGGAATCCCAACATATGAGAAATTTTGTGTCTTTTATTTTAAATTTTCCATCAGTTTAAAAAATAGAAAATTCCATAAAAATATCTCAACTAAATTTCCTTAAAAATTTTAATACCCAAACCTTTTTATTATCCAGTTTAATACCTCAACTAATTATATTACCCCTTTTAATATACAAACCTTTATAACAGTACTCATTATAATATCTAAACTTTGTTTATTTTAATTAACATACTAATAAGTTTCAAACAAAATTTTTTAAAATCTGAGAAAAATATTTAAAATTTCTAATTTTACTTGAAGATTTAAGAAAAAGGTAAATAAACTCTGGAATTAATTAAAAGTTTATAAAAATTAATCTTGAAGGATTTTTTTTTTCAGAACACAAAATAAATTAAATATTTTATTACAAAATTTAAGATTAGAAAAATTTATTTATTTTAATTTCTAAAACACAAAATAAACATAATATTTTCTTTAAAGTTGAGCCAAAGTAATTATTTGGGATATTAAACTGGGTAGCGAAAAAGTTTGGGTACTAAAAATCTTAGCGGAATGTAGTTGTGATATTTTTATAAATTTTTCCCTTCAAAAATTGTCTAGGGATACATCTTTTTATAATGATGTGTATTTTCATCAGTAAAATAAAACTTCTCAAAAGGAAATGTTTTGGTCCTAAAAATTAAATGATCTACAATAGGTTGTAAGGATGTATAAATATATATTATCATCATAAGAATATATATCTTCCATGCTAAAAAGTGAAATTATAAGAGATATGAAAATGTGTAAAGATGTTTCTTATCATTCTAAGAATATCTTTATTTTATTTTATGTTTTTTCATGTTAAATAATTCATTAGTCTTAAAAATATATCTAGAGGTGATCATAAAAAAGCATCTTCTCATAATATTTCTTTTTTCATCCTAATGTTTTATCCTCATACAAATGTAGTTTTTTCCTAAAAAATGGTTTTTAAAAGATTTGGGAAATGTGTAAATGTATTACTTATCATTTAACTGAACTATTGAAATTGTCATTATGAACAGTTGCAACTGGATAAATGAACATTGTACTTTTTATGATGAATAATGGTAATTTTTTATGATGAGTCATTGCAATAGGGATGATGAATCATTATACCTTTTTGGTGATTTTATCATTCTGATGTACCATTGCAATTTACAATGTTAACTATTGCAACCATTAGCTAATCCTTGCAATATTTGGGTCAACCATTGCACTTCTTGGTCATCTATATAAAGAGTTCAAGGTTATGACAAATCACAATAATCACAAATAGACTAAAAAGAGAGAAAGAGATGTGCAATTCAAAAATCATCAAAGATATACATATAAACATGAAAAATTGAATTAGTGTTTGATATGTCATTAAAATTTGTAAGAATTGTGTTTCCATTTTAAAAATTACATAGATTCTTAAGAAAATTTATTTCATTCATTTTTATATCTAAAATAACCTTAAGATTATCTAAAAATATTTTGGTGGTTTTATTTATAGGGTAATTTACTAATTTTTATTTAAATCTTTTAAAAATTAAGTCTATCAATAGTTATGTTTCTGAGGTTCATACTATTTTCTCGGTCGGTTAAAGCTAAAATTTCAATTAAATTTTAAAATAATTGATGTAAACAACTTTTTATCGTATTGGATTTATTTGTTATCAAGTGGTACTCACAATACAATATAGATTGAGTATGTATATCTTCAAGGACTGACTCTTACTTTTAGAGACAAAACATTGACTACTTTTGATAACTTTTATTCTCTTACACAAAGTAGGTATGAAAAAATTACTCTCTCATTTCTTTTCCTATATTATTTTAATAATATAATTATTCAATTTTTTTTTAATAGTGTATCTTTTCATCTTCGAAATTGCATAAATTTTAGTGGATGTTATTTTTGTTATTTTCTTATCTTTATATTATACCAAACAACTTTTCACAGATTAAGTTTAATAAAAAAATATGATTAACATTACTGTACCAACACAACTCTACATTTGAAATGTACAATTAATAATTAAATTTTACAAAAATATATTTTTATGTTTAAAATTGTATTGTTTTAAGAGGTTTTAAAAAATGGTAAGAATGTGGATTTTCGTAATGATGTAATTTTTCCATCCTAAAATTTATGTAGGTTTTTAAATGGTTGTCAAAATATGTATTAATATATTTTTTGCATCCAAAACCTGCTTATGTTTATAAATAGTTGTGTTTTTTAAAATAAAACTCACATATATATATATATATATATATATATATCCTAATAAATATTCTAAATTATCTAAAAGTATTATGATAATTCAGTTTATTGGAAAATATTTTTATAATATATCTATATATTTTGGTTTATTTATAAAACTTAATATATAACTTTTAATAAGATTTAAGGTTTATAATATTATTTTTTGGTGCAGCGATTATTTGGTCTAAGTTGGTTGCATTTATTCGTAATTTCAAAATAACTTACCTAAACTAATAATAAGCTATATATATATATATATATATATATATATATATATATATATATATATATATATATATATATATATATATATATATATAATAACTGGTATTGATGTATTTTAATTCTAATTAAAATTTAAACTTATAAGTAAACATAAATTCTTAGTAGTATCTGTAAATGAATATATACACATATCTATACTATTAAAGCTGAAGTACAAAAATTAAGTGTTTGGAAACATGAATAGTAAGTATTTAAAATTAAGATGATTGGAAACAAGGATAGCCTACAAATCTAATGGGCTTACTTATTAAACTAAAAATTACTGCGGCCCAAAGTACCATTATTATTGTTTTTGGATTTTCTATCATTGATATTATTTTATTTCTGAAAATTATATATACATATATGTACTCGTGTTTTAAATGTATATGGAATAAATCAAGAATAATATATATTTTATTTATATAATTTATATTGACTATTGTTAAAAGTTTTTAACAGTAATATACTAGCATTCCAATTCTTCATTAAAAATGAACTTAAAAATTTGACTAAATTGTTTAGTGTATATAATTTTTCACCAAATTTAGTCAAAAAAACTTTATAAAATATTACTAAAATATTTACG